AAGTCAGCCATTTAACTGAAATGCTAATCCACAGTGAATCACATAGTGAGTTTGGTGTTAGTAAGTGAAAATTTCCAACAGCTGCTTGTCTCCATACACCAATCAGTCAACCTCCTACTACTATGTCAACATTAAATACAAACATTACAAAGTCGTGATGAGGCTCTTCTTTGTGTTACAGAAAACTTAGTGGTTCCCCTTAGTATTGACTTGTTATCCCCGACTTGACTTGTTAGTACTGACTTAGTATCCCCTTATCTTGACTTAACTTGACTAGTAAGGACATGCAGGCTTACACAACAAGGTTTCGTATGCTGTTCTGTGACAGAGCTGGATCAGTTATGCCACTGTTCTTTAGGACAGAGGAGATCTCCAGCACTGTATCCTTCTCTCTCATCATGTATCGGTAGTATTGTTTCTTAAAGGGCACAAACTGTAAAAAAAAAAAAAAAAGACAACTAAATGAATTAGGTGAGCTTTACTTTGCCTCTTGGTGTAATCTCTACATTAGCCCTCACAACCCCTGCAGCTAACAAATAAATTATTATAATTGTCTATAATTACTCTAGATGGCATAGCCCTGGCCTCCAGTGCTGTTGTGAGGAACCTTGGAGTCATTTTTGATCAGAATATGTCCTTTAAATCACATATAAACCAAGTCTCTAGAACTGCCTTCTTTCACCTGTGCAATATCGCAAAAATCAGGAACATCCTCTCTCAAAGTGATGAAAAACTGGTCCGTGCATTTGTTACTTCCAGGCTGGACTACTGTAGTTCTGGAGCCAATCCCAGCCGGCAATCGGGCGAAGGTGGGGTACACCCTGGACAGGTCGCCAATCCATCGCAGGGTTTTTCTGAATTATTCCTCTATAATATTAATAATAATAAGGTCTAGACCTGACTTTGTAAAGTGTCCTGAGATGACTTTTATTGTGATTTGGTGCTATACAAACAAAAGTGAATTGAATGGAACTGAACTGAACTGAATTGGTTAACCTTGGCATCCTGGATGATGTTCCTCCACTGATGGGAGACGAGGCTGGCACTGCAGTAGAGGTCCTGGGCAGGCAGAAGGCACAGGACTTGCCTCAGCACCTCCTCTGGAAGGTCATCTATGCAGCCCTGGGGTTGTAACAGGACCCTGCTACTGCCCAAGAGCCCATAGTGGGCATCGGGGAGGGCCTCCACCTCCTCTGCCTCACTGTGAATGTCACTGTTACACTGGTCAAATTCATCATCATCCCCAAACATGTCTGCTGTCATTCCCTCTAGATAATCTACCACCACTTTCTGTTGCTTTGCCTCAGACTCTGACACCATCTCAGCGGCTAATAGACTGGCATCATCAACCTCTTCCTCCTTTGCCTCGGGCTTTGGCACCAATTGGGCAGCTAAAAGGCTAACATCCTCCTCCTCCCCATTCACAATCTTTGACTCTTCTTTGGTAAAAAGCCCTCCATTAAGTCTATTTGTGGCCAAGCAGGGCTGAGGGGATTTGCATGGACTGGAACTGATAACTGCTGTTACAGAGAAGGCATTGATGCCCTTCTGTTGATCGACAGGACTTTCTGAGGCAGATCCTAATGATGCAAGTAAAAAAAGAGAACAGAAAGAAGAGTTATTATCTGACTTTAACATCAAGACTTTCAGTGGAAAAGACTAACATGTTTTGGTGCACAGATATTTTTCAACATTACTTTGAGTACACTAAGATTTGTCAAAACAGTGTGCAGTTTACAGCAGATTACCACAATTCCATCGCTTGGCAGGTGTCCTTGGGAAAAGCCCCCTGTTAAGATTGCAGTTGCTCAGCCCCTGGTTAAACATGTGAGGCTGGGTGAGGGCATCAGTGTACTCTCTGCTCCGTCCCAGTTCATCACATTCCTCTGCATTCAGGTGCCTCCTCTTGGCTCTCCCTAAGAACCCACAAAACAGTCAATCAAGTTAGTGTAAGATTTGATTCTTATAAGCTCTGGTTATTGTTATAAATTAATAAATTAGATAATTATTAGACTTTAATGTGTGTTAGTAATGCAGTTTAGTAACATTCAAAGTCTGCTCATGTGTGCTCTGCTTCAAGGTTAGAAGATAATGTTGATTCTGAAAAGTGTACCTTGACACCAGTTGTTTTCTTGTATTAATCTTGTGTAAGAATTATGTCTGAATGGATGTTTTAGTTACACATCACACATACAACATACACACGCAATTCTTCATTTTGTTATGTCCAGCTGCTCCAAGCATGTGGAGCTCTAGATAAAAGAAGGAGATGTCGGACTGTCTCCAACTCCTGATGTTTTTACAGCTGTCTGTGTAAGGGGTTAGCCCAAAATCTTATAAACGTATTAGGCTCTGTGTTTCCGGTGTGGGTCTTTGGTTCTTGTTACCATTGCTAACTCTGAGAGACGAGACAGTCCAAGTAACTTCAAAACAGTGCTGATTTATTCAAAGGATCACAGGTAAAATTAACATTACAC